AACCTTTATATTTTGCAATAAATCAATATTGCTTTGTCTCAGATGGGTTTTTAGAAAGGGAAATGAGCTCACACCATTTGTTCACCTATAATCAGTTGTCTTTCAGCCTTACCTTTGACCACCATGCTCAGAGAAAGTTTAGATAGAAATGCTGTTCCCTGACCTAACAAGGGACCTTCCAGTGCCTTGGAAAACAGAAGATGAACTGGGTGAAAACCCCCCTCATCTGTGAGAAACCACAGATGAGGCCAGATCTGCTGTTCTAAACAAAGTTTTTACAACAGAATGACTTGCAACAGTAGAAGGGTGCTTTTGACATTCTTCCCAGAAAGTGACAGAAGTTCTATTGATGCTATTGCCAATAACTATAGGCTAAGGAACAGGGACTTGGTTCCTGGATGTCACTGGATGGATCCCCTCTTCATTACAAGCAGCTTGCCAAGAACAAATGTTTCATTTTTTATGGAGATAGCCAATGTCCTGTGTTGTCTTCAGAGACTGAGGGAGTGAACTGCTCTGTGTCTTCACTTGAAGCCAGATGTTAAAGTATTGTCTGGATGTAATTGCCTTGACAAATAGCAGGAGTGACATTTTAGCTCCATTCAAGTCAGTGGCAAAATTCCTGTTGAGTTCAGCTGGGGCCAAGATTTCATCCTCTGACAGCGCTGACGGGAAATCTAACGAGTGATCTTCAGAAAAATAAGCACAGGCATTGTGTTTTTCTAGGACTATTTTCAATCCACAGGCCATGAATCCTTGGAGTCTTGTGCACTGCTTTGAAGGGGTCTGTAAAAGATCTCAAAGACAAGGAATTTCAATGTTAGTACCTTTAAATTTGCTATACAGGGGGCCATGATTGCAAGGGAGAATGTCAAGAGTTGATCACCAAGCCCAAAGTCAGCTTTATCCACTGAAATCCACCCATCTGTGCAGTCCTTGGACTGACAATCATCTTTCTGGCAGGATCTGCTCAGCTGAACCACTCCTTTATCATGGAATGCTGTGGATTCAAGAAACCACTTTGTGTCCTATGCTAAGACTGAGCCACGTGGAAATCTCTGCTCTGGCACCTACCAGGTGCCATTGCCAATGGATTGGGATGAAAACAAGGGTTTTTAGAGAAGCTGGCATAGCTGGGTCTTTACAACCCATTTGGGTTTGCAGCAAGGTCAGTACTGCATCCCCAAGATAAATGACAGGTGCCAGTGTTTCCCTACAGACCTTCAGGGATTCAGAAGCAATCAGCTTCAGGCAGAATCACACAATGGATTCTGCCTGTGGTACCTCCAGAGCTTTGAGCCCTGCAGCCAGACATTCAACCTCATCTGCATTAAAGCCTGTGGGTTAAGCAATGGCAGTACTACTTGGGTGGAAGTTTACAATGCTTGGATGACAAAAGACCTGAGCTCAGGGGAAAAAAATTTCCTGCAGATTAAAATCAGCATAATTTTTAAGGGGTAAAAGTGTTCTTTTTAGGCTTTAATATATTTTTCTGTGTGTGTTTTGGTAAGCAGAGTAGTTCTGTAAGTTCTTTCCTTTCAGAATGTGGAAGAACTTGTATTTTTTAGAGTACCTGAAAAAATGCAGGAGAGGTATTGAGGAATCTTCATGTATTCTGTACTGGTTATTAGATGGAGAGCCCTTGTGCTTGCAGGAGCAAAGCTCCTGAACATCTCTCTTCAAATCCACTTGTGGAGCCAGGGGCTTCAGCCTCTTGCAGGTCCAAATTTAGGCCAGCTCCACTTGTAATCCAGGGTTATGAGAGGAATCCTGCCCAAATCCTTGCTGCTGCTCACACACCTGAACAAAGGGAAAGGTTCCTGTTTACCTGAGAATGACATTGGACATTTTAACACATATCATGGCAAAGCATGCTCGAGTGATGAGGTAACAGCTGATTCATGGCTATCCAGAGGAGCCTAGAAGTGCCACTGTGGGATGACATGGATAGAAGAGGCAGTTACTTTGCTTTTCCATGTGAAGAATGCTGCTTCTCCCCAGCTGAGCTATCATGGAACGCAGATGACTCTCTGGAGGAAGACTTTGCTGCACATTTGCAGTGTGTTTTAGCTACTATCAACATTTATATTCCACTGGCATTTGAGGGTAAGCACTAATTAGCATAATCATCAATGCTTTAAAATTAAAAATTCTTCCAAGAGACACAGGAGAGAAAGAAACTGTTTCCTTCCCCCAGAGGCAAATCCTTTCCCAAGCTATCTGCTGCACCAAAAGGATTTTTTCTAGAAACATTCCCAAGCTATGCCCAAGAGTAACTTAAACTACAGCAAACTTGTGTGTGTGTGTGTGTCAAAGCAGGCCCTGCTTTGACAATTACTACCTGACAAAATGTTGTCACTGCTTTCCACTCCTCTTTTGTTTTGCCTGCTGCTCTGTGCTGTTGTGTCGCCTTCGGTGTGTGGGCTGCGACAAGCAAGAAGTGTTTGTAGAGTTGTAAGTTTTTATACTTCATAAGAAACATTCTGGTGTCTTCACAGGACAGAAAGCAAAGGGTTTAATGACATGTGTAGAGTTTTGCCCCCCAAATCAGGAGCTGGCCTCAAAACAATCTCCAAAGCCACTGTTTTATGCACTGTTCCAAAGTGGATTTTTACTCTGGTTCCAATTTACCACAAGGAGGCCAAATTGAATTTCTAGCATAAATAAACCCCTTTTATGGAGGGTAAGGTGCCAAGGGAACCTTGGGGGAGCTTTACGTCTGAAAGGTAACATTCACACTTTGGAAATACCCCCTAAGAGTTACTCTTTAAATGTCTTCATTGCTGCCTTTGGCAGTGACGGTGGGTGTCCACCAGGTGGGGTCCAGGATGGGTGTCCTCCCTGTGGGTCCTTTGTGGCTCAGAGGATGCTCCTCACATCCTCAGCAGGGTCAGGAGCCTCCAGGACAGGAGTAGGTAACTCTGCTAATTGTTCTGGAAGTGGCCAGAGAGAGAAAGATCAGTTTTTTCTCAAAGATTCTCTCTTTGAAAGAGAACCACTAAAAACTGTGTTTCTTAAAGCAATGGTGTTTAAACTCACAGTTCTTATTTCTGCATAAGACACCACACCCTAAAGGAAGTAAGCACAGGGACTCTGCAAGACAGAGTGGCACAGAAATCTCCGTGAAAATTTCAGAGTCTGCAGGACATTGAACATATGTATTGTCTCTTTGTATCCTGTTTTTTCAGCAAGATGGACTTAAATTTCATTGGCAGAAATTCTCTCTTTTATCTTTATCTACTGTTTTGATGTGGTAGCCATGGAGAAAAGCCCCAGATTAGTAACAGTAGGTTGGTGCAGAATAAGAATAACTTTCTGCTTGTATTTAGACTGTAGAAATATCAGAGGCTTTGTTTAACTGGAAATATTCAGAGAATAATTATTAGATGCTGTTAGGCCAATAATCACCCATCCTCTTCCCTTCTATGCACCTTGAGCTGGCAATCCTTAACTTCCCTCTTTTCTGAGGGTGGTTTTCTCAGGGAAGGGGCTGGCTCTCTCTGACTCCTGCTTTTGAAAACTGGTTAATTCTCCTGGAAGTTGGCTTAACACAGGAAGAACGTGCAGCACCGATTCCTGTTCCCTTTCCAAGGAAGTGTAGGCTGCACTGTGATGACTTAATAGGTCTAATGATTACACAGGGTCAAAGAGAGGGTACAGCCTCCCTCCACATTCCACTCATAATCTCCTGAAACATTCAGTGCAATTTGTGTACACAGCGGGATAATCAGGCCCTCTCCTGGCTCTTGGCATCTTTTTTTTTTTTTTTTTTTCCCACCTGTGGGGCAATTCCAGGTTTATCACTGGAGTGTAATCCACAGACTGTGCGGAAGAGGGATTTCTGGGAGAGGCTAATGAGTAGTGTGAGCCCGGAGATGCAACAATTACAGGTGTCCCCACAGAAGGACAGCGTGTCCAGCTGCTGCCCCAGCCTGGGGGCACAAACCCAGCTCTTTTCTCTGCCCTACCTTCCCACCAAACCTTCTAGCTATATACAAACCATAACCTAAGCTTCCTCCTATTTACCTTGCTTTCTTTTTAAAACAGCAGCACCTCAGGAGGAAGCGGTAAGCCCTCAGGTGATATTGTCACAAATTTTTGTATTTATTTCTCGCCAGCTGCAGCAGCAGGTCAGGAAACTGGACGCTACATGGAAATCTGCAAGGTGAAGATTTCAAGGTTACAGCTCCCGAGGAATGTGATTAGCACGCAGTGAGAAATGGGATTGGTGAAATAATGTGGCGGCACTTCACCACTTATTTCCTTGTTGCACAGTGTTTGTCTGAGAAGCCTCTGCAAAGCCTCCGGTCTCTCTCCTCAGAAACCACGGCACAATTCCCATCCTTTCCCTCCTGTCTCGCTCCACTATGTAACCCTATAGTGTGTGTGAAAACTATGTACAGATTCCAACATTTATCACTGTCTTCCCATTTCCTTGTATAGGAAAAAGCTGAAATAACACCAGTTCTGGTTATACACCGCTTTTGTTTCTCCCCTATGGAACACCAGGATGCAGGCTGGCGGTATGGAGGGACCATATATGGTCCTGGGAGCCCTGGGAGCGTGGCGCGGAGCCTGTCCCGGGAGCCCGGCGATCGCTGTCCCCTCAGGAGACCCCTCTTCCCTCAGGAAACCACTGAGGGAGCAGCGAGCGCGGCACCAGCGGATGTGACAGCAGCGCAGGCTGCTCTGGGAGGGACCGCCCCCTCGCGGGTACAGCCAATCAGCTCTCCGCTTGCAGCGTGACTGACGTCCATCCCAAGCAATCATACCGCCGCTCCCACCACATAGACCCCACCTTTTATCTCCGTTGGTCAGATAAGCTGTTAATCGTCCGGGATGTCCCGCCTTTTTCCGGCGGGGGAAATGCTAGGTAGGAAGGGTGGAGGGGGAGAGAAGAAAGGGAAAGGAACCAATGAGACACTAGAGATGGCTAGATTGACAGGTGTGCGGACCAATCGTCGCGCTCCTTCCCCCCGCCGCTCCCTCCCTCGCGGGCGGCGGGGCAGAGGGGGCGCTCCTCCCGCACCTTCCCCGTTGGTCTATCCCACTCCGGGCCGGGCGGGCTGGGTTGAGTGAGCGGCTCGGACCATTGCTCGCGGCGGGCGGGGGGGGCGCGGGCGAGGCGGAGGAGGAAGGAGCCGGCGAAGGAGGCGGGGGGGCGGTTTAAAGGGACAAGAGCCGTGCGGGCGCCGGCGGGGGAAGCCGGAGCGGCGGCGGGCGGGGACTCGCCCCCTTCCCCACACACGCCCGCTCGCACCGCGGCCGGGGTCGCCGCCGCCAGCGCCCCCATCCCCTCCCTTCCCCTCCGCCCGCCGCTTCCACAGCGGCCTCTATGAGGTAGAAGGGAGCGGCGGCCACTCCGGGGGCGGCAGCGGCCGCTACAGCCGCCGCCTCCTCCTCCTTCTCCTCGCCTCAGAGCGCCCCATCTTTGTGTGTGCGGGAGAAGGGCGGGAGGGAGTGCGCGCTGCCCGCCCGCCGCGCTTTGTTCGGAGCCGGGGGGCCGTGGCGGAGCCCCGGCTCTATGTGCCAGCGGCTCCCCGGCGGCGGCGGCGTGAGGGGCCGGAGCCCCTGAGGGCGGGGGGGCCCCGGCCCGTGTCGGTGCTGCGGGGCGGGGGAAGGGGCCGGCTCGCTGCCCGCCGGCCCGGCCCGTGTGCGGGCGGATTGATGTGGGGGGGTCTGACATGAGTCCGCCGGCGGCCGGGTGCTGCCATGTGACCGGCTTCAAGGTGGAGAACTGGAAGCAGAACCTGCGGGCGATTTACCAGTGCTTCGTGTGGAGCGGCTCGGCCGAGACCAGGAAGCGCAAGGTACCGGGGGCGGCTCGCATCCACCCCCCTTCCCTTCCCTTCCCTCCCTCCTTCCCTCCCTCCCCGACCCACCCGCCGCCGCCTCGGGGAGGGGACGGGTCCGGTCCCCCTGTAGCCCTCCCTCCTTCCCTCCCCACGGGGCAGGTGGGCCCGAGCTCCCGCACGCGGTCCTGGGGGGAGGGAGGAGGAAGCGCTCGGTGCCTCCGGGATGGCGAGGGGGGGCACCGGGATGGAGGAGGGAACCAGCCCCGGCGGGGCCTCCCTCCCTGCCACCTGCCCCGGCGGCTTTTCCGCAGCGGGGCTGTTCCGCAGCGCCGCCGCTTCCTCCTCCTTCTTCTCCTCCTCCTCCTCCTCCTCCTCCCGGAGGTTTCCCGGAATACCGGGGGGAGGGGAGGCCCGGGGCACCGGGCACGTCCGGCCTGTGGCGGAGCTTTGTGGAGCCCCGCGGGGCCGCGCCCGAGCCCGGGGGGCTGCGCGGAGCACAATGGCTGGGAGCGGGTCCCGGCGCCGGGGGCTGCGGCTGGCTCGGTTATGTGTGTGGTTTTCCTTAAAAAAAAAAAAAAGAAAAAAAAAAAAAAAAAGCTGCTCGTGCTGATAATCCACTTGGAAAAGGGGATTCCTGCTCTGGTGGGGCGTGGGGAAAGAAACTGGCTCAGCCTGGTGTGCAGGGAAGGGCAGGAGGGGTTTGCTCTGGGAGCTGTTAGCGCCTGGGAAAAATCCCTGTAAACCAGGCAAAAAGCAGGAAGAGTGCTTTTCCCCACCTATCTCCTATAATAACATCCTTATACACATGCATGTTTCTGGAGGGCTGCTCTATGCACTGTGCAACTAATTGCTGTTTTTCCCTAGAATCAACTAGTTTTTACTTCAAAGTGACTTGGCAGATTTCTGTCAGTCGTCGCATTGGTGACTGAGGAGGGGAAGGCAGCAGCTACACGGAGCAAAACTTGGGGTTTGGGACAGCATGGATTGTGTTTTTGTTGGAACAACCCATTGAAAACTTTCTGATCCCAGTGCTATGCATTAAGCTGCTCAGTTTATTATTCATAATAGAACTATAGCAAGAAGGATGGACTTAAAGGGTGAGGTGCCAAACCATTTCTCTGTGTTCAGTTCATGTTCTCAGGATAATCCAGTTTCCCAGTTTTTTTACCTAAAGAGGGAAAAATGGAATCTGAGAAGAAATACATATTAAATGGATATAATTATTTGATAGCCCTGTGAAGTATAGCCACACTTGTTTTAAATACCTTACAATTCCCTACAGGTCCATATTATGGAGTATATTAGTAAAAATCTGGGTTTATTTAGCCTATAGCATGTTAACATACAAACTGGGATATAGTAGATAGTGCTTTCAGCTGAAATGGAGAAAAAATTGTGTCTGTGCTGTGGAAGAAAAAAAAGGCAAGTGAGGTATAAAGATGTCTCAGACAAATATAAAGCAAGTGCTGTGTGGAAGAAAGAAAATAAAATTTGATTAGCAAAACTACCTTTTTCTAAATATGGAGTATCCTGTGTAACCTGCATACCTCTTGTGTGCTGCAACAGCTTTTTCCTTCCGAAATCTAATGTAGGGATGTGTTCATCATTGCTTGAGAAAACAGCTGAAAATACAGAATATTCCATTGTAATCAATCTGTTCTCACTTCCTCTTTGCACAGCCAGGCTCATAAAGCAGAACAGGATTGTTTCAAAATTATCTGTCAGCCCAGGAAAAACATCAGTTTTCCTAGTACATGCTAAAAATGCTTTTCCCCCGCTTTTATTTTTTATGCAGATTGCCAGTGTGAAAACAATTGGGTTTCTGAATCGGCCCACCTGAAATGTGTGGGTGTACATGATCAATATGGGGGAACATTTTGGGTAGCTAAATTGGGATTCAATTCCCTGTCTATGTTTGTAAGGATTGAAGAAGGTCTGTAAATGACAGTTATGGTACTTTATTCACCTCTCATGTATGAACATGAGACCTTGTTCCATGGAATTTTAATTCACTGAAATTCCCTGTACGTAGTGTATGCCTGACAGTTTTGCATGGAAAATTAGGAAAAGGGTGTTTTCTGTTTGGTGGTGTATTTCTAGTCTAATAACTAGAAATAGAATTGCCTAGATAGCCCATATAACTCAAAAACAATCCTTTGTCCTTTAATAGTTTACATGCACGTATATTATGTATATGTGTATATCTATTCTGGGACCAAGCTGCGACTGCTTAAGAGCACCTATTTATTGGTGAAGATTCTTCTTAATGCTAATCATCAAAATGATGAGGCTGAATTAAAGGTTTATTAACAAGTGATGTTCTTTTTATTGCATGATCAAGGACAGTCACATTACATGTTTATCACAGGAGACATTCCATATATATAATTGATCTTTATGGAAGGCACTGGGCAGTTTGACTGCTGTTCAGGTGAAGGTAGGTGTAGAAATGCCTTGGCTGTTGGTGAGAGCCAGATGTGAACGCTTCTGGTTCTAGAATGGTAACTACTATCCCTCCTAAGCCTGTCTTGAGAATCCAGGGAGCAGTGGGAACTGCAGGGGGCAGAAAGGGTCCGTTCTCGTGCTCTACCTACACTGTGTTCTGCCTTGGCAGACCATTTTAGTGCTGTGCTGTTCGGTTTTAATACGCACCTTTTCTGTGAATAAGCTTTTACGAGCTCCAGCTCGCGGTTCAGTTTGCTTTACAGCCAGTGCTTCCAGCAGAATGGCTCTAAAACCTGGTTTATAGTGGGAAAGCTGTCTCCTGAACATGTATTTCAATCCTCAGTCAGAAGCAAGAGGTAATTATGTATGTGTCTTTGTAGGCACTGGGATTCTGGTGAAGATTTTTGGAGTGTGTTTGCTCCTGAAGCGTTGGCTGTGCCGGGATTTGAGCTGTCATCATGGTGCATTGTTGTATCCACACGGAGGAGCGAGGCTGTGACTTGCCTCATCTCACTGCATCTTGGCCAAACTCAAGTGCAGCACAAGCTGTTCTAGGGACAGGGCTTGCCGTGGTGTAATTGTGTTGCTGGTGGTGAAGGCTGAGCAAAGACAAAGCTGTCACGCTGGAGAGTGGAACAGGAGATGAGGGAGAGGGAGAAATCCAAAGACTGCCTCTTGAAATTGTAGTTACTGTGATTAAATGTTGGAGCTAGGTTTTAGACCTCAAGTTGTGTGTAAACTGATATAAAATTAGGGTGGACTTTTTCATTGTTGGGGCTTTGACTTGTAACTCTTGATTTTTAATTTGCCATAGTTAGAATCTGTTTAATAACCCGATGGCAAAGCTCGTGTTTCTGTAGGTCATGGACTTTCCCTTGAATATTTTGATGTGAAAATTACCTCACACTTAATTAAGTAACACTCTAGAAGAGGTCCTTAAATTTGTCACCACTACTTTCCATTCAGGAATTACAGAGCAGACAGAGGATGCTGAAAAGGCTTGTGCCAGACCTTTGTGTCAGCTTTTTCCATTTTTTTTTCTGTAGGGTCACACTTAAAACACTTGGCTTATTCCTTCAGAATTGCAGATGAGAAAAATCTGTTTTGCAGTGCTGAATGTAGCTTTTGTCCCCATCAGTGAGCAATTACACATGTAGATGCATCTTTGTGTCCAGGAGTTGGTAAGTAATGGTTTCATTGCTGGAAGGGCAACTGAATTTATGATTAAATTCCCTCTTCCTGGACTATACGCCTTGGAGGAAAACTGTCTCATTCTGAATGGTTCTTACTATCACTGCCCTGAAAAGGCTTCTCATGATAAAAGTAAGCTGGTCATTGTGACCACAGTCATGATATGCACAAGGTTCTGTGTGGAATTTCAGAATGTTTGTTCAGTGCTTCAGCCAATAGATCAAAGAATAATTGCCTGTCAGGGGCTGTGCACTGTCACTGACAACGGCTGCATTCTGGCATATTTCTGCCTGTTTGAGAGCTTCTCTTGTTTTTCCCATTATTCTCTCTTTACATGGGTCCTACAGACCAATTGATCCTTTCAGATATGAAGAAACATTTGCTTTTATAGGTATCTTTTTGTCAGGTATCATTCTCCCTGTGAACTTGTGACTTCAGTATGTGGCTCCTTGTAATATTTTGACAGATAATCAGTTCTTAGACTTAAACCTGAAATGACTTTGGTTCATTTCCTGACTTTCAAAGTTGAAAAGGTTAAAATAACTTAGCAGATAACTGCCGTGTCATGTTTTCAGTAGCAAGTATTGTGGTTCTCAGTCTAAACCAGTGTGTCATGGTCTTGCTAAAGTGACCTTGCAGTCTTCAGAATGAGCTACTGGTCTCATCTTGTGCCTGTTGAGGCACGTTTGCCTTGGCCCATGTACCTGTCCAGGAACAGGGAGGTGTTGCTGAGGTGATTTGCTTTGTGCTGTAAGAGACAGGCCAGGAACCTCACCAGGCTGTGCCGTCTTCACAGGCTTGGTGTTTGGATTGCTTAAATTAACGAGGAAATCTTAGCTTGTTTTTCTTTAACGTTTTTAGCGTGTGCACCAAACTTCTGGATTACAAATCCTGTGGAGCACTTGAAAGAGGAGTCCAGGATTCAAGAAGCATGTCTCTTTTTCAGCTGCGTACTCTGCTGTGGCTGCCTAAGTGACCTGTGTGATTGACTCAGGAAGGATGTTCTTCTTTGCCATGTGCTGTGGGAACTGCCTTCTCCCTGAAAGCCATGAGAAGTGTCAAAGTCAACTGCAAGCTTCATTGTTCAGGAGGTCTCCAGTTTCATACCTGAGCAATCTTCCTTAGTGCTTAACCACTAAGGATTTAAAAGGTCCTTAGACCTGCTGAAGGTAATGTTCTCTTTCCTCTCAGTGTGAAGACATGACCTTTGGTGTGAGAGATACCCAGACATGAAATTTTAGCTCTGTACCCAGCAGAGCCTGGTGTACATGGGACATGCCAGATTGAGAATGCTCCACTGAGCTTGTGTCTCTGGTGCTGAAGAACATAATACAAGACCTTCCTCTTCCTAGTGGTGCTAAGCCCTATTTTGTATCCTG